CATTAATTCTGAAAGATTTTTTACTATTGGACTATTTTTAAAGTATAATGTTTTCGTTAATTCTTTCAGAGCTAAGATTTCTGCTCTTAGCTTTAATGGTAGTTCACCTGATTCATATAAAACTACATGATTTGGAGTTGATTTTAATAGTCTCATGGAAGTTCTTAGTGCTAAGAGATAAACTGTTTCTAGCTTTGCAAAATTGGTTTTAGCAGCTGCGGCTACTAATGTAATTCCGTAATCTAAGTGTGGTCTAACTATTGCTTTAGTTATCCTTAACATCTCTTCCGGATGAGCTCCACTACGTTTCTTGGAGATCATTTTAAGAATATTTATTTTCTTTTTTGCTTTGATAGCAGTCTGTTCTATATGTCTATTGAATAACAATTTGTGATCTAAATGGATTCCCAAAAATTTATGACTTTCTATTATAGGTACTGATGTATTATTGATTCTTACATTTATGTTTGGGTTAAATTTATTTGTGAAAAGCATTGTGGCTGATTTGTGTGGATTTAATTCAAAACCTAGTTTCCTGAATTCTATTGTTAATTTGGATAAAAATATGTTCATTTTATTAGATACTACTGCTGCACTGAAACCTATAATTACTGCCGTGAAATCATCTGCAAATTGTATCAATGTTCCGTCTTCCTGAATTATTTTATGTACAGTTTTGGTGTATAGGTTAAATAAAATAGGGGATAATGGACACCCTTGAGGTAGTCCACTATTAGTTATGTGTGTAATTTCAGTACCATCATTTAATTTTAAGATAGTTTTTCTGTTTCTAAGGTAATGGTATATCCAGTTTATTATATAATTAGGGATACTTTCTTTTCGAAGCGTTTCTAAGAGTTTATCTACGTTGACATTATCAAAAGCTTTTGACAAATCTAGAAATGTCGCAACCATAACTAGGCCTTCTCTTTTTGACTGTTGTACTATAGAAACCAAGTAATTGACGCAATTAATTGCTGATACATTTTTTCGAAATCCAAAAGAATTAATTGGAAGGATGTTATTGTCTGTTATGTACTCGTTCAATTCCTTTTTGACTGTACAGTTAATGAGTTTTAATAACACATTCATCATAGCTAATGGTCTGTACGAATTACATTCATTCGGATCTTTACCTGTCTTCAGTAGAGCGACTATATTGATTGCTCTCCATTCTTCTGGTATATTACCTGAATTAAGAACTTCATTCAAGAGCTCAGAGATTCATATTTGTAAATTTAGATTGATACGTTTTAGTATATAAAATGAGAGAAGATCTGGTCCTGGGGTTGAATGATCTTTTTTTGAATAAACGATCCTTCTTATATCTCTGAAATCTATTCTTATCTGCTGCTGTGTTGTAATTGGAATATAGTTGATTTCGGATGATATTGTAGGGAAGTTAACATGCATAAATTGTGTTGCCAGTTGTCTGTCGTTTAGTAATATTAAATTATTTTTAGATGGACGTCCTCCTCCTATCAGCTTGACTGTATTCCACAACTCTTTCTGAGACATATCTGGATTTATAGAGTTAATTAGTTCCTTCCAGCTTTTTCTCTTTTCGCTTCTTATTTTTCTCTTTAATATTGCTCTTTCTCTTTTAAAATCTTTTAAATTTTGGATTGTTTGATTTTTATTAAATTCCTTTAATTTTTTGTTTTTTGATTCTAGTATTTCCTCAATTTCTTTAGTCCACCAAGGTTTAGGTATTCGTTTAACCTTTCCTATTTTTAAATTATATTTTTAAGAATTAATTTGTTCTGCTATTATTGGGGAAATATCTTCAGGTTTGTGAATCATTTGCGGCTGTATTTGATTTATTTTCTCTACTGCTTGATTTTTGTTAAAGAATTCTACATTGGTTTGATTATTGGGAGCTGAGTTTTCTATTTCTATTTTGATGATTTTGTGATTACTGAAAAAATCTTGATCTAATACTGTCCATTCTGATTTGCAAGCTATTGAAGGTGATGCAAAAGTTAGATCTATTGCTGAGGGGAGTGTATTTGGTGGTTTAATCAATGTACTGGAGCCGTTATTAAGTAGAACTAAGTCTCTGTTTTCAAGTAAATGGTCTATTAATTCACCTCTAGGACAATTAGGGTGATTTGGGTTCCATAATTTATTATGTGCATTAAAGTCTCCTGCTAATATGGTTGGTTTATTATGTTTTTCTATTATGTCTAAAAGTTTCTTAAGTGGATTTTTAATATCATTATTATTTATGGGCAAAGGGGGTATGTACGTTGATATTATGAGCATTTTTGGAATGGTATTCAAAGTTTCTATTGCTATTGCTTCTATTGGATTTATTGAAGGTAATTTAAATTCATGTATTGCAATATCATTTTTAATTAGGAAGCCAACTCCACCATAACCAGTCGGCCTGACTTCCTTTAAAAATTTGAATCCTGGAAAATTAAAGTTCTCTCCTGGTTTAAGCCATATTTCACTTAATATAGCTATGTCAACAGTTTCTTTATTAAGAAAATTCTTTATCATTTCTCGTGTGTCCATAGGTCGTATGCTTGTAACGTTATTCTGTATTATAGTTATCTTTTTATAATTCTTCTGATCCATTGTTTGAATTTGAGTTTGACATGGTTTCCTGTTGCGCTTTATCTAATATTTCCGGGTTTATGATTGAATCTAACTGATTACTTATGTTGATTAATAACAAATCCTGTTCTATTGTCTCTGTTTTGTCGGTATTTTCACAAAATTGTGCTTTGAATTGCCTGAATCTTTTCAACTATACCTGTCAAATTCAACTGTGCGATCAATTCTTGTTTAATTTGGTGTGCTAATCTTTCTATTTCAGTGGTTGCATATGGATTAGGATTGAAAATATGAGGAATTTCTTCAATTTTTTCCGGCTGCGGGAATTTGTTTTGTTGTATATTTCGGTTCGATTTATCTCTCAAAAATCCTCCCCTTGACCATTTCCAATTTCCTTCCGAGCCTTTCGTCAAGTTATTACTCAATGTTCCAGTCCTGACATTACTCGAAGATCCACCTTCGGAAGTAGCATCCTTATTTTTGTAATTCCAGTCTGTAATATCATTTTCGGTATTTCTATTCGGCAACGAAGGATAGTCTTTATTCGAATTCAGTCTACTTTGTACTGACTTTTTCTTCCTCGGATATTTTTGTTCCGCCTCAAAGAATGAGGTTTTGTTTTCTGCCATTTCAATTCTTATTTTATCTTGCCTGTCTCTTTCCGGACAATTTTTATCTGATGCCTTATGGGCTCCTCCACAGTTTATACATTTCAATACTTCTGTCTCACATTCCTCTTCGTCATGTTCAAGTCCACATTTGCAACATTTTACTGAGTTTGCCTTACAAAACTTCTTACTGTGTCCGTACCTCCAACATTTGTAGCAAATTCTCAGAGGAAACACATATGCTTCGCAGTGAGCATTCACTCCATAAATTTCCACTGATTTTGGCAGATGTTGTCCCTTCGCGTATATCTTTATCGAATATGTTGGAACTAAATTCATTTCGGATGTCTTTTTCATAATTCGTTCAACCTTTTCTATTTTAATATTTCCACTGTACATGTTTTTCAATATATCATCCTCCGTCAATGATTTTGCAACATCCCTGACCACTCCTATCGTTTGCTTAAATCTGGCCGGTACATAAACCTTAAACTTAAACTCTTCTGTCAATAGCTTAGAATTAATCAACTGTTCTGCGTCCCTAGGTTTATGAAATGTTAATTGAAAACGACCTCTACCCACTGCTTTCATCTCTTTGTAATTGTCCACCTTTATGTTCATGAGCATCTTAGCAACCTCCATCGGATGCGGGTATTGATCTTTACTGTTTTGATATTTACGAGTTGGGGTTTGCTCATCTGTTTCTCTTTCGATAAAAAAGGTGGTAAACACCGTATTTTTCACCCAGCCATCTTTATACTCCTCATCAGTTCGGTCCTTATTTTGTCGTAGTGTTAGTTTACCATTATTTGTACCTGATGTACCTGCTGTTCGTTGCTGTGTGTTTATGTTAGTCAATGTACTTGTTGTTTGATGTAGTGTGTTTGTGTGAATCGATTTGTCTGTCCTGTTCTCATTTTGTGAATCGCCATTTTGATTTTGAGCTGTGAGCGTGTTAGTGTTCCTACCTTGCATTGTCTTGTTCCTCTTGTTGTCGCCGCCATTTTCTATGTCATATTTATTAAAATTGTTTGACCTCAGTTTCCTTTTCTCTGGTACAATGGTGAATCCCTTCTCCAAGGGATCATCACCATTCCGTCCGTCTTCGTCCTCAACTTCCATTTTCAGCTCCTAGGCATACGCCGCACGGATGTCCCTACCCCGATCAATCAAAGTCTCCAAATTCCCTTATGTACTGGCAATCGTCTTAACCCTAAACAATAATATGAATGGAGTACTTACTTACTAATTATATCAATAAAAAATTAACACTAGGGATATGTACAACACTATTTACACTTTTGGATTATCAAAATCTGATTATATGTGGAAAAATTCGACGCGATAAAAAAATTCACAAGCCTTGTTCTATTTCTCGATGTTGTCCTTTCGAACGATGAACAGCGAATGTGTGTGTTGATAATTTGCTCATAGATAGAAAATTTCGCATGTCCCATTCCGACACCGTACTTTTGGGTGTCTTCCGCAAACTGTTCTACAGCCCGCAAAAGGCGCCACCGAAGCAAACGTCATTCCAGCCCAGCTGTTATACGCCACAACCAAAACCAACACACACAGGCACGTAGCAAGCTGTCAAAACAAAAAAAACGAGCCCCTGGAAAGCTTTCCTACAATCCAACTGTCAACGATGCATCCAAACAGAGAGAAAAGGCGCCCTCACGCACACCCACCCACACACACACACACACACACACACACAACAAAGCGCGTTCGTGTCGTCAAAATAACACCACCAGCCAATGTATTGGTGAGCACTCACCCAGGAAAGTGAGGAAAAAGTCCACTCGATTGTGTGCTTTGAACTTTTTTCCCAACCGCGGATACAGACACACAGTGACGGACGATTGCGGATTTTTCTGTAAATATTTACGCCAATTTGTCGCGCTCGAAAGTGATCAAAGTGATGCGTAAAGTGCGCCCCAAGTCGTTCAGCGTCGGAAGCGAATGAATTCGGTCGGTTCCGGGCGGGATTCCGTGGTGAAAAAGTGAATTTTCCGTGTGGCCCCTTTCCACAGTCCCCGACGACGGACGACGATTGCTCTGTGGTGAGCCAAGTTGTGTATTTGACAGACGGAGTTGGCTACGCGAGACGCCATTTTAGAATCTTTATTTTGGATCGGGGGTCTGAATATTGTGCTGAGTGAAGTGAAAATTTTCAGCGGATAATTCGTGCTGGGAAGTGAAGAACGGTGTTACGTAAATTTGGTTAGGTGTTTTTGGAGAAGAATTGGAAGTGCGATAAGTGTATTGAACGGGGGCAATGAGAGTGGGCAGTGAAGAAAATGCATTCGGTGATGGTTGCAATCAGGAGGTGGGGTGGTGGAACCAGTAAAGCGTGGCAAGGTGAAGAGTGTTGATTTAGGTAAGAATCGTGTGCGCCCGCTTTCAAGTGACCTGGATTTTTGCTTTTCGAAATGGAATTTTTATTAGCAAGTTGTATCTGTGTACAACAAGGCAACCAGTTTGCCTAGGTCCGGAGTACAGTTAACCGAGAGGAAAGAGGGAGAGAGAGAGATAGAGAGTGAATTGCAGTGCGAGAAACAAGTGAGCCAGTGATGTTTTTATCATCAAAAGTTTACATTGGATGTGTGTTTTTGCTGCAAATGCATATCTCATTAGGTTGAGGTTATGCCCCAAATGACCGCAGCTTTCCGAATGTCTGTCTGTCTGTCAATCTGTCTCACTGTCATTCTCTGTTAATTAAGCATGTTGTTATCTTTTTTGTGCAGAATCGTCCATTTGACTCAAGGCTGCCCAAATGCCGTCATTTGGATCTGTCGTGTTCTAAATGTTGACGACAGCTGCGTCAGCGTTGACCCCCTTTCTACAGTAAAGAGGAACTGTTACGTAGTAACGGTCTACTTTGATCGATCCAAATGGCGATAATCCAAAGCAAGCTTCCAAATTTGGAGATTCCGTTCGTTTCGGAATCGATCCAATCTAAATTTAACAACTGACATGAACAGAAGACAGTCGATTGGACCCATTAAACTAAACTTCTCCGAAAAGTTCATTATACCTAGTTTCAATTAGTTGAAGCTGCACGCAAAACAACTGCTAGTTTTCCAACTTTCTGCATCAGCATTGCCAACCACTTCGCCTCGGTGGGCGTTGGTATTGTTGTTGTTTTAACCCTTTTCTTTACCTGGCAATGCACAACCGACTTCGCATCACGGAATGCACTTGTGCTGGTGTGCGTGAGCGCTCAAAGCAAGCAGAAAGCCCATACGTCATCAGATCCGTATAGTTGCGGCTTTTATTCAGGTTTTGCGCTCGAAGCGCGCGCTCTTCACAGCCTAACCCAAAGAAGAGATAAATAAATAACTCTCGAAGTGAAGAGTTCGCTCAAGCGTGGGGACCAAAACAATTTCTGACAAACAGAAGAATTGTATGGGTAGCTATGACTTCCGAACTGAAATGAAAGACGAGGAAAGGAATTTCGAATACGCGCGCGCTCGGGTATTTTAAGATGCAGTCAAGTAGGTAGAGTTGCAATTTTTAGATAGAGTGCACTGCACACACTATGCTTTGCTGGCCGCGTAAATTTTCCTCGGGTGGTTTATTTCGCGCTGCAACCACTGACTGGCTGGTGGCACCATCACCAGAAAGAGAAAGGTAACAACTGCGAGCAGAAACATGCAAGACCGACGATGCGACGCGTCGAAAACAGAATCAGGTTCGACGACCTTCCCTAGATCGGAGAAATCCCAAGTGTCGGTGCAGGTCTCCGATTGTTTTGTTGGGCGTTTCGAATGTGTGCTTTAATTTAAATTAATCAACAAATCTTAAACAATCTTCGGGTGTGCCCAGAATTGCATCAAAAGCGAATATGGGGAAAGTTTTCGGATCGATCGATTTTATCTAGTATGTTGCCGTTTTCAATGTTCCAGCTCATTCTGAGTAAACCTTACGGAGCCGATTACTGAATGTCATCGTCATCTATGTCGATGAAGATGAAAACCCTAATCCAATTTGCTGCATCCAAACAATTATTGGAATAGTTCTATAGTTTGGGTTATCGTTCGGGTATGGTGTTTTTAGGGAATCTGACCGCAAGCGTGTTGTATCTTTATTTTCGATTGTACTGGCCCATATTATGATCATTTAGTGGTGATAAATAAATTTATTTGTATAATTGACCGGCATGTGGGCCACGGGACAATCCTTCAGAAGATAAGGAACATCCGTAAATGTAGTTAATTAATGTAACACTAGAGCTCAGTAAGCTATTAACAAATCAGTGGTTGTGGTGATGAATGACTTTATTTGAATCTGGGACTGGAAGACAGACCTTGGACGCTAGGGATGGTCCTTCGGGAGATCCAAAACATCCGGAAAAATGGTCAGCTCTAGATACTTTCTAGAGCTCTGCAAGAAAGATGACAATTGACATGGTTTGCCTTGACTATGACCGTTAGCTCAAATGAGTGACCAAAGCAGAATTGTCAATATCACCGTGTATTGTCGAGATTTTGCAGCACTGCTCCTAACAACAAACTAGCGGAAAACATATCCACCGTCTCTGGGGCTATCATCAAAGTTTTCTCCACAACTAGTGCCTCTTTCACGTCGCTTTGTCGCTTTGGAACAGAACGTTCACTGGTTCACCCTTTATTTCGAGGATTACGGCCCGTAGGGATAAGTTTGACAACAACCTGACAGCTGCAGCTTTGCATGTGATCCAAGTTCACTAGTGCAGGAACGAAAATCACGATTATGGGTTCATGATATCAGGAATTCATGATTTTATTTTGTATTCTGCTGATCGCTGATGAAAATTGGGAACTAAGTCACGACTTCGAAAGAACTAGTAGTTCAGCTTATCGTGATTTGTTGTTCACGAATATCGGAACGGTTTTTTTTTTTTGACGTACCACTACGTCTCAGATTTCTATATGGGGGTACACTTTGTGGAAACCGAAAATGGAACATGTAACAAAATTATGAAAGATTTTGAACGTTAATAACTCAGTTGTCCCTGGACCAATTTCAACAATTTTATCACCAATCGATCAGAAATATTCCTGCGCATCTGTTTAATTTAAGCTTTTATCATTTTTCAAAATTGCTCGAATGTGCAACTGTTGCTGTGATAGTTAAAATTATCACCGATTGCCTGCGAAAAGCGATTTCCCTAACACAGATTTCAAAGTTGAATTCCATCCGGTCTCACCAAACGGTGTTTATTGTTCTCCAGTACACAAGGCTGCCCCAACCGCTGATCGGATTCAGTTCCAATCCCCGTGTGTGGTGGTGTCTTGTTGTCGGCATCAGCAGCAGCAGCAGCAGTGCTTTCGGCACGTGGCGTTGAACATTGTTCTTCAGTACACAACGAAAGGCTGCCTGCAAGCAGCGAGCTGCAGCCCACATGAGCATTAATAGAAAAAGGAAGAAGCCGCACCGCTATTGATCGGATCAGTAGCTCTTCGTGAGTCGCTGTGGGTCATCTATGCCAAGCGCGTCATACTAAAGAGTGTAATCAGAGCGAACCCCGCTCAAATTCCTATTCCTACACAAAACACAAGCTCCTGCTGCAGTTAACAAATAACATTTATGATATATGACCACGTAGTCCTACGTCACCATTGCGTACAACCCCATAGGGCTGTCCCTTGTAGTTTTTTGCGTGTAGAATCAGAAAGTATTACGACATTCACTCTTACGTTAAAGTTGCGAAAACGATTGCAAAACATTGTGTTTTGGAAGAAAGAGCATTTTAACCGATTTTGAATGAATCAATTAGTGGTACATTCATTCACTCGAGTGAGAAGAGAAATTGCCATGGTTGGAAGCTAAAAGATAGTTGAACAAGTGTTGATTCTACCAAGCAGATGACTGCACATATACTCAGAATTGACAGCAGTAGAGCGAATCAGGTGAGAAACTGAAAGAATATTGTGTGGGGTCGTGATTATTATTTGACAGTTCGCATGATTACAGCTGTAATCCTCTGCTTATTTACATTTGGTCCCACCCTATATATATACCGTAGCCATGCTACACAGCCCTACTCAACTCTATACAACTTGTGCCTTGCCCGCCTCGCTGTTCGCCCAACCCCGCATCCGCTCACTTGACCGCGCAGCACTGAGCTCCGGCCTCTTTCGTATCTTGACAGCTGTGAAGGTAAGACGTGCGTCCCGTCGTGAAGGGGAAAACCTAGGGCAAAATGGCTGGTCTCCGACAGCGTAAATTGCACATTGGCGATCCTGCCAGGCTGCTGAATATTCAGCAGAAAAGAATTAATTTGATTTAATCATTTTTACTGTCGGAAATCAGCCATTCTGTTGTAATTGTGTTCACTGGAAATTTGTTTTTGTGAGTGATTTTTTTTTTCAATGGTCGAAAAGTGAAATTTATCAACGCTACAGAAGAAGGGAAAACAGTCTAGTTTACGGAAGAATCGATTTTTCTCGGTTGCTTTTCCCTTCGAGATTAACAGTACTCTAAAAATCGCGCGAATCAACCTAAAGTGATGTTTGCACATATGTAACTACCGGTAGTGGCTAAACGGTGACTTGGCAGCGGATCGAGACGACCGCGTTTGTATGATCTGGTAGCGGGTCGAGACGACCGCGATGGGCTACTTTAGTAGCAAATTAAGTTTTCGGTAGCGGATCGGGACGACCGCGATTAATATTTTTGGAAGGATTAATTGGAAAGCGGATCGGGACGACCGCGTAATATGAATTTGGTAGCGGATCGAGACGACCGCGCAAGGAAAACATGGTAGCGGATCGAGACGACCGCGCGGAAAAAAAATATGGTTGTGATTCAGACAATCGCTAGATAAATTAACACAGGAGTAAATTAACAGTTACTGGTTGACAGTAGAACGGTTGATGGAGATTGAAAATGCCACAAGCCAGGATAAGCAGCTTACGGAGGTGGTAGATGCTCTGGAAACGGACGTTTGGCCAGCGCATCTAAAGCAATTTCAAGTGCTAGGCAGCGACTTGACCATGCGCGATGGAATGCTGAGCAAAATGGGTTGTGCAGTAATACCCGAATGCCTACGCCAGAAAACCCTGGCGGTTGCTCACGAGGGCCATCCATCGACAGCAAAATTTAAGAGCATTTTGAGAGAGCGTGTTTGGTGGCCCGGTATGACGAAGGATGCAGAGGCATGGGTGACATCATGTGCCGTTTGTGCAACCAACGGCAGGCCCGAACGGCCCACTCCCATGGCTTGAGTTTTCGCACCAAAAGCGGTGTGGGAGACCATTGGCTTGGATTTCAACGGCCCCTATGCGAAATTCGGAGGTATCTCGATTCTAGTCATTGTGGATTATCGTTCTAGATATGTGATCGCCAAGCCCGTGAGATCTACGAGCTTCGAGCATACCCGAAAAATTTTGGAAGAAGTCTTTGAGAAGGAAGGCTATCCGAAGAACATGAAATCGGACAATGCCCCCCCCCCCTTTAATGGGGATGACTACAGGGAGTACTGCCTGAAGCGTGGCATCAATGCCACCTTTTCCACGCCGTTATATCCCCAACAAAACGGCTTAGCAGAGAGTTGCATGAAGTTGGTGAATAAGGCAATGAGTGCTGCATCGGCAAGCGGAAAAAGCTATGGAGAAGAATTGACTGCAGCGGTTCATGCTTATAACGCAGCTGCCCACTCCGTGACGGGCGTACCACCGGAGGAAGTGATGACGGGTCGGAAGATCAAACGTGGGCTTCCTCTGCTGTGCCGTGGAAAGGCCACCTTCGACGACAACCTGCTCAACGCAAAGGATATGAAATTAAAAATCGAGGCGAAGATACGAGAAGACACAAAACGAGGGGCTCGTCGATGCCGTATTAAACTCGGAGACACGGTTGTTGTAGAGCGTCAGTCTCGATCAAAAGGAGAATCGCGGTTTGATCCCCGCAAGTATACGGTTACAGATGAACGAAACGGAATGCTTGTTTTGACCGATGAAAACGGCCAGATTTTAAAGAGACACGTGTCACAGACGAAGCAAGTCTACGACTGAAAGGACCCTGAAGAAGTCGTTCGCTCGGAATATCCCAAAGATTGCCGCATTGCTCAGGAAGTTATTCCAGCTTCTTCGCAGACAGAAAGCCCACAACCTGGCGTGACTGAGCGTCCGGTTCGAGCAAGAAGAATGCCGGAGTATTTGAAGAACTACGTAAGTGTTTTGGAAGAAGAATAAGGATAACACTGACTTTGTTTATTTTTGTTTGATCTTTGCTGAATAAATGAGGAAAAGTCTGTTAGTTTTTCGAATGTTTTTGCTTCCATCCCTGGATTTACCTTTTTTTTTGGAAGAGGGGTGATGTGTGGGGTCGTGATTATTATTTGACAGTTCGCATGATTACAGCTGTAACCCTCTGCTTATTTACATTTGGTCCCACCCTATATATATACCGTAGCCATGCTACACAGCCCTACTCAACTCTATACAACTTGTGCCTTGCCCGCCTCGCTGTTCGCCCAACCCCGCATCCGCTCACTTGACCGCGCAGCACTGAGCTCCGGCCTCTTTCGTATCTTGGCAGCTGTGAAGGTAAGACGTGCGTCCCGTCGTGAAGGGGAAAACCTAGGGCAAAATGGCTGGTCTCCGACAGCGTAAATTGCACAAATATGAAAAACGTTCTCACCGAGTGCAAGCTCGAAAATGGTAGATTGAAGACTGAACGATTTAGAAAAAGCAGCGGTAAATTGGTTTTGTCTTAGATTCACCCAATTTGGATTAATGTTATCTACTAAAAAATAGCTAAACTATGTTAAAGCTAGGAAGAAAATGATTGATTCGCTCTACTAAGCGACCGCTTAGCTATTTTTAATGTACTTGAAAACGACTCAGCAATTAGCCACGGTAGGCTCAGCTGTCAATTTCAATTATCAAATATCTTCACCGAATCCAATTGATTCGAGAAAAAAATTAAAATGATATAAATAGGCAATACGTCTACTAAACACTTGAAAGTTTTAGGTTGAACGAAATTATTAGTTTTGACCTGAGAGGAGTCACTCGAAATGGTTGTCGAAAGAAAATTCCAACGATCACGACCAACACAAAGACATACGTCGCTTAAACAGATTCGGTCGAAAGATAAAGAATTACGATCAACACTCAAAACAAGCGTAACTTAAAGCGAAGACAACAAATCGCTGAAAGGCTAGCCAAATTTATTCAATAACCATTAATGATTATAGTTGAAGATACTAAGCGTCAAATAATAGACGAGAGATAAGTGGTAATTTTATACGATAGATGAGGAGATGAAAGTACGGCAGTGTGAAAATTGTATATAGAGAGTAGAAAGCAAATTTGAGGAAGGTACGTATTGGGTTGATCATCTCTCTTTACCAAACTCCCTAGTTGAACAGAGATGATGAGAGGTGATTGTAAACATACTCTTATGACTCCAATGACATCAAAATAGACGGGTCAGAGGGAAAGCAGCAAAATCATATTGGACCGTTTGACTTGAAATTGATAAGTTTCTTACTTGATAACCATTTTAAAGCTTATTCCGAACTTTACGCAATATCGGCTCAATCATTCAATTGTAAACAAATCATGAGAAAGTCGCGTACGAGTTCTCACTTCTGCTCTGGAAAAGTGCACCAATTTGTGAGCGGCGTTCAGAGGATGTTAACAAAGGCAAGAAAATTGATATTTTTCAAGTAAAATAACTTGAAAATTGAAAGTGATCGACTCTCACCGATGTGAAATTCAGAAGCTATTTAAATCATTGAAACAAGATCATTTTCCTGATAGATGTATCAAATTCCCGACTTTTTCTCAGTTTTTCCTGATTCAATTGCCACCCTGGGCTGGGCTATCCATTTGGATTATGCAGACATTTTTATTTTCAGCCAATTTCCACAAACCTTCCTCTAAATATCGAGGGGGCGGCACATTTAAATCTCAATTCTAGCTGCTCGAAAAATCTCACACTAGCAAATAAATCTTCGAAAAATCTTCTCGCATCATCTTTTTGCAGGAAATCTTCAGAATCATCATCAATCTTCTTTCTATCTACTCAGCGTGCACGCAGCTAATCACACCAAAACAAAATCTTTCCTGCATCGTACATAGAGTCGTCCCCCTCGCTAAATAAAATGTTTTTCAATTTCGTGTCAATTTCGATCATTGATATTCCTTAGTGCGATATGCTAGACATTAATGGGTCATGAGATTGTGGGACATACATGAGTTAGATAGGGTTATTCCACCAAAATTCATAGCTCCATTCGAAGTTCAGCAGTCGGTAAGCTGGACAGATTCTCACAAACATCGCAAACATTTGCAACGCCACTGCCAAGTACATCTTCGAACACTTAACCGCACAACTGAAACGCCCACCGTCTGCTTTCTAGACAGAAACCCCACGTAACAGCTGTATGGCGGATCGCACTTGACCCTGACCGAGGAGCCTTCCCGACTTGTTCCCATTTAGCACCCATTTAGATAAATAAAAAAACGAGAGACTCACGTGACGACTTGTTGAAAACCGTGATGCAACAGATGGACGAAACGTACACATATAACGAACGACCTTGCAGCAGCAGAAGCACTACATTAGCAGGCACTTATACAACGTCCCAACTAAAGCCCCGGTGATTTATGATCCTGATCCCTTCCTCTCATAAATTACCACCCGAGGCCCATGCTAACGAAACAGAAGGCCGCTTATCTTGTCTTCCTGTGAGGGATATAAGTCTTCCGGAGAACACACACAGGCACTCACATACTCACACGCAACAAGAACCTAACCGCCTTAAGCGTATCCTTTTCTCCGGAATGGACTTTTCCACTTTCATCATCTTGCGTCGTTCTTGGGGTGTGTTTCACTTGGCACTGGAACAATGGCCGGCCATTAATCAAGCAGTTTCTCTTCTCGTCTTAAGGAGTCAAGTTTGCCTACACGGTCGATCCGACCGACTCATGATTTCCAGAAAAAACTTCTCGAATACATATGAGGGAAATCCATGAAAATTTTACTCAGTCTAGGAATATACTAATACTATCGACTTTCCTCATATTCGAGCACGTCCGTCGAAAGTAACTCAGAGACTGAGTCAAGTTTTTCCATACCAATTTAGCTTAGTTTCATAAAAAGTGGACTTACTCAGTACTATGCGTGACTCCACTTTTCACGAAACTGAGTAACATTTGTATGCGAAAAAAGAGAGTTAGTCAACTTGACTCAGTCTCTGAGTTACTTTTTACGAAAATCGAGTCGATCTGATCGACCGTGTAGTAATGAAGGCTGGTAGTCCGTAGTGAAGAACTGAGCCCCGAACCCAGCCCAAGGATTTATGCCACTCACTTTCTCTCGATTACTTCTCAATAGTGCTGATGCCGCTGCTGTCTACCTAGATATACTTATCCCTACTCAAATTGATACCGTTGTTATGGATCCGGCTCGGTTGCCTACGTGAGAATGCCTTGAGATGGCATGGCATAACAAGTAGCCGAGCTTTAATAGTGCTGTAAAAAAATGGGTAATTTTTCATTTGCTGAAATTGACCAATGAGAGTTCAGTGATCCCATAACAAATAAGGACATAGGAATTTGTCACCGATGATTCCCAGGAAAAAACAAGAGTCAGTTGGAAAAGTTCGATACAGAAATATTGTATGGGGAAGTAGAATTTGCTTTCTGATAGGTACATGGCACCGAGAAAGTTTATACTGAATGAAATGAAATATCAATTAGGGGAAATGGCTCTAATGTTGGCCTATGGAGCTAAGATTGGGCCCATCGCTAAAAATCTGCTATTTATCAATTTTATCTAGATGAACGGGACGCTATTGGAAATTTAGTCGATTGCTGAATTTATGTATGGGTCCAAATTAGGGGCATTTGGTCCATTTCCCCAACTATTATTATTATCTTTATTACAGAGAATATCAGCCAATACTCATCTCTTTATGCAACATCAATGTATCCGCATTAAAAAAAAAAACAAATAGGTTGAACAGCAATGGATGCGACATTGAAAGAATCTACCCTAGGGTGAACAAGGTAGCCACTGAACCGTGAAAGTCGGGAATTAACGGGGAATCGAAAACATCTGGGAAATAACCGGGAATTTTGTTTAGAACCTTACGATCTTTTGTTGTACCAATATTAATCGAATTCAAGCTCAACATTGCATTAGGTCCTAAGTAACATTGATCGATTCTCTTCGTCGACTTTCTCTTTCGTTAATAACCTGAGCACATACCCGTTTCTTGTTGTAATTGTCGTATTAGATATAAGCTTCTTTCATCAATCTGTGTGCTGAAAATACCTGGCAATGTTTTTACATGGCCGTGGGGATACAAAGAGAAAGTCGACGAAGAGAATCTCTCAATGTTACTTAGGACTTAATACAATGTTCAGCTTGAATTTAGTTCATAAACATTCTAGGTTCAATTTCTTGAATATTTTTACACCCCAAAATTTTTTTACTTTTATATAGTACAAAAAATTAAGTCAGATATCTAGTAAAAATATCAATGTCCTAAAGTCTGGCATTTTGAATACCTTACCCTTGACAAACAGACGTACTTCTTCATTGTGCATCTTCGTTGACGCATTTAACGGTTGATTTGAATATTATCAGTTTCGCGAACTACACGCCGCAGCGCTGGCATCGGATCACTTTGACGTTTCTATACATACTATAGAGCTTTTATGTAATATTTATTGCGAGTTAGCGAGCAAGCTTGTTTCCCGCGAGAAGCCCGAGAGATGTCGTTACTGAGGTCCTATGTTTGGAGATACTATGTTTTCAAGAAAAACTTGTTCAAAGAGTTACGTCTGTTCGTCTGTGGTTAAACTTATAGTTCCATAATATTAAACAGTTTCCTAAGACCAGGATCTTGCAATTTGCTCTCAATCGAAGTTTCACAAGCTTAAGAATTTTTGTTAATCCTCGATCTTGAATTTCTTATGCACGGAATCTTGAAAAAAATCCATGATTGAATCTACTAAATTTTTTCTTATGAACTCATCTCTGGATACCTTTGCAA